AAACTGTAGTTAAAATGAATACCGTATACTGTATCTCCGAATATAAGCAACCCCGAATAAAAGCAACCTCCAGATTTAAAACTGAAAATTTGGCAAAGGTTATGTTTGCTAGTAAAATTATTTCTGAATATAGGCAAACTCTTCATTTTCTACTCGAAAAATGTGTAAAATTGCGGTTGCTAATATTTGAAGATATACGGCAAGCATAAAACTTTATATTTATATACAATCTAAATTTTAAAAGGAAAATTATTTTCCTGCATTTAAGCAAATATTGAGTAGTTAGTTAAGTTCCTTGCCTGGTTTTGCGCGATGACGTCGCGCAGCTATCTAGTTTAATATATAGGATTGACCGCAGTTAACTCACGTGTGATGAATCATTGCCATTATTTTATCAAAATAAAAAAAAAAGCAAATATTTACCTAAAAAAATGCGAAGCCCTATCTTTTTTTTTATCTATAAATACAACACGAATTCGATAAAAAATTTTTGGGGGTACAGCACCAGAACTGATACGTAACGCTCAAGCACAAGTACTATATATAAAAATGCTGGAGTAAACAATTTCCTTTTTGGATAAAATGGGCAATGTGGCGGCTCACGAGGATACACTAAAACCTCAATCAACAAATCGAAATTCGTAAGTTTAAACAAATTTAGAAATAACCAGAAAGTACCCCGAAAATAAACATCAAGTAAAATGTTAATGTCGTTAAATTTGATATACTATACATAGTTTTGATTTACATAGTTGAACGTACCCCCCAATATACCATGTACAATATGAAATAAGAAATTGTCCAGGACATGGGACACTATCCGTGACTGTCCAATCCCTACAATTAACAGGACATGTCCGTGTACAACATTGTGGCCACGTGACCAAATTTTATTGCATATCGGGTAGCTTAACCCGAGAAAAATAGAATTCTTATAAATATTCCCTCAAATTCCCTCAATTGTTAGATGTCTAAGCCCTTATACATTAATATTAGATATTCTATTTCGCAATCGAATTATTCAAAATAGTGAAACAGATCTCTGTGAAACTTTATTAATCCTTCCGAGTCTTACTATGGCGATGTGGTACGGCTTGCCCAACACTAATTACGACACAAGTCGCAATAGTTTTGACTTAATTCAAGATAATTTAGAATCATTCGAAACTAGTTGCGATACTTTCGATTTGTTTAAAACTAAATACGGCGCAAATAGTAATAGTTTCAACTTAAGCCAAAATAATTTCGCCTCGTTCAAATCTAATTTCAGCTACTCGTGTACTCATTATTCGATACCACACAGAAGTTTGTTGCAAGAAAAACGGGGTTTGGAAACCCGGCGTTTGAAAAATGGGGTTTGGAAAAACAACGTTTGAAAAAACGGCGTTTGGAAAAGCAACGTTTGAAGAAACAGCGTTTGGAGAAACAGCGTCTGTGCATAAGTCCGGTGCAAAAAAACCGGGGTTTGGAATACTGGCGTTTGGAAGAACAGCGTTTGGAAGAACAGCACTTGAAAAAACAGCATTTGGAAGAACAGCGTTTGGAGGAATAGCTTTTGAGGAAATATTTAGAACATATCTTTAAAGATAAGATATATATCTATTTTTATCTTCAGTCCCTTTTAAAGATGATTCTTTTAAAGTGGAGCACCTCGTTTAAAGATTATCTTTAAAATTGCTTTCTTGCTTATAAACCTTGAACATTGTGAGTATAATTTACTTGAAAAATAGCGTGTCAATTTTTTTATTTATTCAATTTTTTTGCTCATCTACAATGCTTTTCTATGATAGAGACATTTAAGTGGTATTGACTTGATAATATATAGTTGGATATAACATAAATGTCCAACACAGACCCATAACGAATAACTTATAATAGCTATGATATCGATATGATTTTAGTTTTTATTTTACTCCTATATATTTCTAAATTAATTTTAACTATTATACATGTATAATTTTTTATCTTTTATATGAGCAATAAAGCATAACACTATTTTAACAACCGAATTGCTGATATTAACTGACTTTCCTTTTTAACATCAATAATGTGTACCCATTGCTACAGTATATGCAATGATTAGAATATTATATCTAAACTAAAAGGATAAAGATTGTGAATATCCAAAGTGTTATTGTTATAATGTATGTCACTTTGCAATCGGTAAACCATTTATTCTTTATAATAAATTTTTTAGCGAATATATTCATAAAAATTATTTTACTAATTCCTTTTTTTAAATAATACAGTAGCATACTAAATGCTAATCACTAAATTTAATTTTAAAAATTCAAGTAAAAATCATATAAAACTAAAAAAGCATATGTTGATAAATTTACCATTTTTGATTTCTAAATAAAAATTTCTCATTTAAGTCTTCTAATTTTTT